ACAAATTGCAAAAAGAAACTATAATCCAGTAAAAGATAAAAGATGACACAAGATTTTGAAACTGAGCCTCCCCTGGTGGCGCAGGCGGTTGAGCGCCAGGCTGTGAAGCTATCCACAGTCTCTGCAGCACAGGTTGGATCCCGGCCAGCCAGGGCGCAGCAGACCTCTCCTGTTGCACCCGCTGCTCCCCTCAGCAGTGCATTTCGTCAGTCTGCCTGTTCTGTTCCCCGTTCTGTCTCTGGTGAATCCTCTCACCCTCCCACACATTTGGCCTGTACCCTGGTTCGTGTCTAAATAAATAAATAAATCTTTTTTAAAAAAATCTTGAAACTTCCTCATTCATATAAAGCACCTTACAGACAAAGATCTAACAAAGTTAGACCCATTCATAGTGGAAGAAAATTGCAAAGAATGACAAGTAGACAGAAGCTTCATAAGAGAATACATTCAATATCGAGAAGTCTCTTGACAAACTTGATAATGTATTTAAATATTACTAGAGAAATATCTTTTTAAAATACTATGAAAGTCAAACATAAAAGATTATCACATTGTCTTATACAATTTTGTCATAAAATACGTTTCCCCCAAAGATGAATTCTTGCAATGCTCAAATTACTAACAAAAATTATAACCTAAATTCTTCTATGTTGATAAAACAAACTAATTATGTAAAGTTTCATTTTACTAAGATAAAAATTCCAGTCAAATTTTCACACTTATGAAATTTTGATCCCCTTTGTAAGTGGATTCACTTTCAACAGTCTTTTTCCAGGATCTTCGTCTTTAAATAACAAAGACCACCTGTAAACTAATTCTGTGTCAATGTAGTAAACAAATTTGCATCTATCCAATTGCCTAATGAAAATTACAAAAAAGAAACAGTTTTCATTACAAACTCTAGAAGACTCACACTCATGAAATAACAAGAAAACATGACTTGAAGTCAATGCAAATCAGACAAAAACTCAAATATAAGCAGCAAACAGAATCCAAAGCCAACAAGGAGTGATTGTACAATGGTCTTGTAACATTTTATTTCTCCACAAAAGAAGGTAATTAAGAGAAGTCAAATTTCTATTGTTTGTTTTTACTTCAAAGTGCAAATGTTATGATGGACTTTATTTTTTCTAACACTTTCATATGTTAATCATTTCTTTTTTATCATTATTTTTTCTAGATTGAGAAATCAATTCCAAACAGGCCTAAAAATGACAGAAAGCTGAATCATTAAATGACATAATGTTTATTGATACTCCCAAGTCAATATATGACTCCAAGGGTTATAGCTATTACTACAATACACTTGATCAACCAAAAAACTGACTGAAACTGTGAATGGTCCTCTTCTACAAAATGAAAATAACTTTGATTAAACAGCTAACAAATTTCCTTTCCAAAACACATTTATCACTGTCCTACAATTACCGTCAGTAGAATATTTTCTGAATGATGAATAAAATACCTGATTGAGATATAATAAATTATACTAATAAAAGTCAGCGTTTCAAAGTTAAAATTGAAACAAACTATCTTTTGTGATAGCAGTCACTATGTAATACTGACTAAAAAAAAACTTTTTATAATCAACCTACTTTTAAGGACAAGCAGGAAAACCAACTTAATCTTAAAAGTTTGCTAAATTTTTATCTGAGTGCATATGATATTACATGGTGGTATAAATATAAGCTTTAGAATCAGTCTATGTTCAAATCGAAACACTATCATCTCTTAGTTTTAAGAGTTTAAATTATACAGCCTTAATTTTTTAAATCTGCCCTCCCCTCAGCAAATTTACCAAAGCAAGGTTTGTGGAATCTTGGATTTTGATCTTGCATCTTGAGTGGTGTAATACAAGTATGGAAAAATTATTAGAGCTCATTCATTTTACATAAGGCACTGACAAGACTGCCAAATAGCATCAGCTATGTACACACTCTGTTTAAGTCTGATTCTGTAGCTTTTCCACTGATTCTGCAAGCTGCCAATAACTTTTCAATTAATTGTTCTTTTAGTTCCCATTGCTCGGAATAATTTAAACTTCATATACTAGACAAATGAGAGGAACTTCCAACGGGTACAACCCAAATGCTGATCCAATACCATTTCTCACCTGCATAGTATGTCGTCACAGTATTCAGCATACTTTCACGTATTTCCCTTGACCTCTGTAATAACCCACACTATATGTAGGAGATGTCTGATGTGTTAGCCCCCGAACTTAGGGATAGCGTCCTGATTAGAAACCAAGTATGTTCAAAAGTCATGCTTTGATCACTATGTCATATGATTTGGGAACAATAAATTTCAAATGTTACTTGCTTAATTCAACATAAAGGAATGTAAATGATAATTTGGTGTCATAAAATGCTAGTTACCCAAGAGATTTTACTGTAAAAATTCTTCACTTGATTAGTGGGGAAATAATACTCTGGAAAATTAAGTGACTCAGCTGACCATAGATCTGAGGCATACAGCGGGGGAGGAGGAAGGAAAGAGGTTAAAATAGGGAAGGAAGAACACAATGGACTATAGTGATAGATAATGGATGATATGGTGGTGGGAAAACTATGAGGATTTCATGTGAGGAGAGAAATCAATACTGCCCCAAAACTAAAAAATACATAAGAAAAAAAATATATATATACACATAGATTATATATATATATATAAAATACATAGAGAGAGAAATTTTAGTGACTCACTTGAGATAATAATCTACCCTGCATGTTAATAATGCAAATTTATGGTGTATCAGAATCAGATCCCATTCAAGAGAATTTTAGTAAATGGAGCAAGAATATCTTCTCTAAAGTGGTCATCAATGGTCGGCTGGAGCTCTTGGAAGGAGCTGGAAAGGGCTCAAGTCTCCTAACCTTGAAATCTCTCTAAGGAATCTATGTTCTGTAACTATCATGGCATTGGATATCTGTCTTTGGCCCTGCCCTAACCCTATTTAAGTTTCTCTAAATATACCCCAAACTGTCTGCAGGCTGAGCAATAATCCCTGTTAGCAATTCAGAGAGAGTTCTTTAACAATTCCCACTTCCTGCCAGTGCCAAATTCATCCTGTATGACTCTGTGTCCCTCTATTCTGTGTACTTTTAGAATCCCAGTAGACTAGCAATTTCTCCTAAATTTCCCAGAAGCGACAAAGATTAAATAAACACTTTCCTCCACCCTATCTGTAGGTGGTAGACTGAGATAGAGAATGAGATTCTGATCAGAAGATGACAAGTAATGGGAAGGACCCTGTTCCAAGGTGCAGTCCCTCAAAGTCCCAAAACACCCAATCACTATTATGTAATCATTTTCAAATCCTGCTCCAGTAGATGATGTGTTGCCACTCTTTTTGAAAGTGGGCATTCATATTATCTCCTCTGTGGCTGTTAGAACAGTCCTATCTGATTTCCTCCAGCCAGTTTCCTCTGTCTTGATTCTCCTTTTCTCTCTTGCACACCAAGCATTGTAAAGCATGAAGCACTGAAGATTAGGCACTGTCTGTATGGGTTATAAATGACCAGTTAAGGCCCATATATAGTCTACCTTTGAGACTGGCATATACAGTGCAAGAAATACTATTTTTAAGGAATCTATCATTTCTGTGGTAGACTTAATTTTGGAAACAAAATTATGGTAGCTTCCATTTCCCTGGTAAGGAGAAAAGAGCCTATGAGGGTTTTGTTCTGGTAAAAGGCCTGGCAGATAACACTGACAAACGCTGCAATTTAAAGCAAGTTTAGTTTTTCTTCCACTGTTTGAGTGACATCAGAATGGCAAAAGCAAACTTCAGTTCATTTTTCTCATCCCAGCAGGATAACAGTTCCCCGGGAAAGGAATTATCATCATGAATCAACTGTAAAACACACAACCATTTTAACTGATTGAAATAAATAGTATTCAGGCTGAAATGGGAGGTCACCCTGCACACTTGAAATGGAAGAATACAGATGAGGAGCAAGCTGAGTGAGACCCCCAACAGCATTTTAAAAGATTCATGGCAAAGAGTAGATAAATAGAATTCTCTAAGTTCGGTATTTGAGATTTCTTTGCAGATTTAAGTAGGTTTAATTTTAGATCTAAATGGAAATCAACATATTGAAGATAAGGAATGAGTTAGTCAATTATAAAGCCCTAAAGAGAAAAGCATTTGACTTGGATTTGTGTGATACATATTTGACTACAAACATTTTAAAACTTTTTTATACTTTAAAAATTATCTTAATTGCTTACTTTATAACAAAAACATATCCTAGTTGAAATTTCATGCTAATTTAAATCAAGGCAATTTAAAAACAATTTTAATTTATTCTTTGTATAGGGCTAAAGTAACAGAGGAGTCCACCCCCAGGAAATAACTGGAATTCAAAATTACCATAATTCAAAACACATTACAGATTCTAAATATCACTCTTCATTTGCTTGCAATTTAAAAAAATCTTTAATGTATTGTGATACCATATAACTTTTCATCTTGAATGGACCTTAAAAATGACATGACAGCCAGTTCCTTCATTTTAGAAATGAAGAAATTCAAATTTGGGGGTTAAACAGGTTTGAAATTCAAAGTAAGTGGGCTTAAAATGAAATGCATCAAGCACAGAATTGAGAGGGTCTGAAATTAAAATCATAGCACACATGTTGAGCTTTTCTGCCCTTTACTTTCTCCAAGATTGGGCTATACAATTATTGACCTAAGTCAAGGCAGAAAAAATGTTAAATCATGATGCACAAATACTTTAATACCAAAGCTTACAACTTATGCAATATCAGCTGGCTATATCAAAAACCTGTAAAGTGGAGGTTAAGTCAATTAATTGTCACTTGGTATAAAGATATTTAAGAATTATAATAATAGCACTTTTTAGAAATGGAATAGCCCTATAGCATTATGTAAGAAAATAATCAGTTATGATTCTCTCTGATGTCAATAATTCTACACATAAGCATAAGACATAACAAACTATTTTAAGCTCAATGGCTGAGTAAAGTGACTGTACCTCCCAGCCTTCAATGTGAGACTGCCATTCCTCTAAAACTTCCAACTTCTCCATCTGTCTCTTGGCCTCGTTTATGTTGGAACAGACGGCTTTCATGGCTTGGAGGGCTTCCATCACTGCTGCGTAGTCACTGTGTTTCCTTGGAGTCCGCTTCAGCAACTCCTGTTTATACACAAAAAACAAATCACCCTTTGATCTTCAGCTTTCTGGTACAGCAGGTTCAGACTGACCAGGAAATGAAAACTGCAAAGATCGTGAGAGCCACTTTCAGAAGTGACATCAAACTCTACCATGATAAAGATCAAAAACAAAAGGTTAAATCAGTGAAGAAGTACTATCCCATGACATGCTGCCATCACTTTAATTTTTCCCTCAAAATTATTTTGTTTTTAAAAAATAAATTTCCTTTCAAATTATCAAGTATGTCACACACAGCATGTAATTTTTTAATAAGTTTGAACTTTTGCTTCACTAGAAGTACATCTTTCTATGCAAATTTTATTTCCTAGCCTTTAACAGAATAATTTTAAATTATGGTCATAATTTCAAAAATAATATAAAAGCCTTATTTTGTAATAATTTTTGAGAAACTCTAAAAATATATAGTAAATAAAGCAAAATTTTTAAGTAATGTCTTTGACTCTAACAAAATAAATAACTTATAAATTCCACAATGCTCCATCACTACAGAAGGAATGTATGCCTTTTTTCCACCCAGAGGTCAGGTTCATTCTGTGATGAACAAATGGTAATCTGCCCTCCTACATACACACAAACTTTGTTTTTGTTTTGGGGATTTTTATTTATGTTTTTTTTTCCCATTCAGGATATCAGAACCAGAGTAAAATTTAATCTCTTCAATATATTAAAAGTTCTTGTTTAGAAGCACAAAATTAAACATTTTCACCCACTGTCTAGACAGTTGTGACCACATTGCTTTTTAATTAGTCATTTGTTTCTTTACTACAGTTGCCATCATCATGTAACTAACACAATTACCAAAATCCTCAGGCAATTCTTTAAAAGAATTGTCTTAATTCCTAACATACAGTGGGAAAATATGCAGCACTTAACCCTCTTGAGTTCTATTATTGTTGAAAAGTCTACCATACTCTTGGATTCTGCATTCAACATGTTCACACTCTGTTTTGTAGAACCAGTGGAAAAGAATACACATTATATCACTCCTAACACAAGGGATACAAAGTCACACTGGATCACAGCATATAAGGGCTTCTCCAGAAAATCTAGAGTAAAGGCATCTGTAAATTATCTGAAATGGTCAAATCAGTCTGCAGGCTCTGACTTAAGGCCCAAAAGAATTGTGCCCGGTAGGTATCTGAGGTGAAACATGAATTTAGATCACTTGAAAAAGCAAGCGAAATAACCAGTAATATTAATCTTTTATCAACTACTTGCTATTAACCCAATGCTCATTGACCAACCCAGTAATTTCAAGTTCCACAAGTAAGACCAACCTATCTTTTTACCTTAACATGACAGCCTAGTCCCTTCATGTTTTTCTCTGAATAAATAAAAACATTCAGGGCCTCGCCGGTAGCACAAGGAGTTAAGCACCTCACTATGAAGCAATCCGCAGCCTCTGCAGCACAAGTTCTATCCCCTGGCCAGCCAGGGAGCAACCCACATGGCACAGCAGACCTCTCCTGTCTCGCCCGCTGCTCCCCTTAGCAGTGTACTTTGGTCAATCTGCCTGTTCTGTTCCCCACTCTGTCTCTGGTGAATCTTCTCACCGCCTGCATCTCTGGCCTGTACCCCAGCTCTTGTATGCATAAATAAATAAATCTTTAAATAAATAAAAAAAAACATCCAAAATCAAAGAGAAGGAATACCAGTAGATTTCTACAGCTGATAGTACAACTATCAATACTGTCATATCTACTACAAAAGTAAATTACATTTTTCTTTTTCTTTGTGAAGATAATCTTTAAAAGAGAGGGAAAAAAATCTCTCCACTGTTTGAAGCCACTCTAAATAGACCTCCTCTTCCAAAGCAAGGATTGGCCTTGGTCCTGTCTTCTAAGAGGTCAGCTCAGACACCTAAGATCATCCCCAGCAGAAATGAATGATTTAGAATCACACTGTGGCATGGCATATTTTCTTAATACCACTATCCCATCCGACTTTTCAAACAAACACATCATTGGGATTCCAAAATCAGGACCAGGAATAGCTGCAAGGAGGACATGTGCAAAACTGAGCAGATGACTGAGGGGAATCTCGGAAAAATAGGAGTCACTATTGCACCAATATGTCTGCCCTCTGCAAAAGTGAAGATAACTGTATTAGTTTCCTTCCTTGCCTTTTTATGGTTTACTCAAGCAATTTTATCTTTAAATAAGGAAACATCTCTTACAATGAAATTTTATACAGAAACCCAATTTGCACAACTGACAGGAGATGCAGTAAAAATATATATTTTTGTTCAAATTCATAATATTCATCTCTGAAATTATATCAGTAAGAACATTATTGAATATATCTATAGCATATATGAGTATTTTAAATAAAAATCAAGTAGTGTCAATAGATCAAAATAAAAAGAGCATAAACTGTATATAAAGAATAATGGGACCTCCCTGGTGGCTCAAGGGGTTAAGTCTGAGCACTATGAAGCTATCAGCAGCCACTGCAGCATGAGTTTGATGCCCAGCCAGGGAACTAACCCTCATGGCACAGCAGACCTCTCCTGTCTTCCCTGCTGCTCCCCTCAGCAGTGTATTCCAGTAGATCTGCCTGTTCTGCCCCCTACTCTGTCTCTAGTAAATCCTCTCACCTCTCTACACCTCTGGCCTACACCCCAGTTCTTGTATGCATAAATAAATAAATCTTTAAAAAAAGAAAAATGGCTAAATTTATGGAATAGGCACTATTCTAAATGATTGTAAATATAGCTCAATTGATTACCATTATGTAATCTTTCATATTTTTGCAAATATATGTATACACACATATACACATGGACATTCTTATAAGCATATGCTATAATTTCATCATCATTTTTTGTTTCATAAATGAAAACTCAAGACTTTAAGTGGTTAGATTATGTGCTTCAGACATACAGGTAGTAAAAATATTTAGGATTTGAACTCAGACCTCATGTGCTCTTATTTTCAAAATCATATTTTCGCTATTCAAATCAATACACCCTCTTGAAGTTTGGGCAGTGGTTAGTACAATAATTTTTTCATAATAAAAATTTTGATCACTACAATGTATCTACAAAATTAATGGAGCAGGGGCCTCCCTGGTTATGCAAGGGGTTTAGACGCAGCCTATGAAGCAATCCACAGCTACTGCAGCACAAGTTCAATCCCCGGCCAAGGAGCACGAGATCTCTCCTGACTTGCCCACCACTCCCCTCAGCAGTGTATTTCAGTCAGTCTGCCTGTTCTGTTTCCCACTCTGTCTCTGGTTAATCCTCTCACCCCCCCATACTTCTGGCCTACACCCCCATTCTTGTATGCATAAATAAATAAATTTTAAAAACAAATTAATGGCGCAATTTTTCACCTCCCAGAGGCAATGTCTTCTTAGCACTGTCACTCCATGCTCTATCATTTATGTCTGCTCCATGTAACCCACACTAGTCTCAAAACAATCATTTAAAAATGAGACTCTGAAAATATGTAGCTTTGACATTAACTTCATTCACATCGTGACATAACCAATATTAAAAGAAATTGAAAATAATGTCAACAACAAATTTACTGAAGATAAAGAACTCTGTAAATAATATGCTACCAAAATAATCATTATTACTCAATGGTACTTATCTTGAAACTAATGCATTTAATTTAATGAAAATAAAATAAGCATATTTTCTGCAAAAAAAGCAGTAAAAGTTTCTTTTCTCAAAAGACCTGCTTCCACAAAAGTAACAAAAATGACCATTTTCTCCAATATCTATGCTCTGTCCTTTCTTTAGAATGTTAATTTAAAAGAAAAAAAAAATTAAAAGACCACCAACAAAATGCACAGCTATAAGGAAAATGTTACAATGAAGTAAACATTTAAAATACCTTCAACAAAAGAGGGTACTTGCATATTCTTTGTATTGGTGTTACTAAATATCCTTCCAGAGGAACATCTGTATTTTTTCGTCCTCCAAGTAGCATGCAGTTCTGGGATAGAAATAAACATAATTAATTGCATTTTTAAACCTAGAACTATGAAACTTTTCACTATCATAAAATTTCATGTAAAAAACTTGTGAAATCATGTCACTTCATAACTATCTCCTTTCCCTATGAGTTGCAGTCACATAGTATCAAAAGAATAAAATACTTAGTGGTAAACATAATAAAGTATAAGGCCTGAATATATAGTTATTAAATATGACAGCAAAAGCATAGTCAACGTGGAAAAAATTAATAAATTGGACTTCAACAATACTTAACATTTTTATTTTCAAAAATAATTTTTAAAATGATCAAATCACACTGGGATATTTGCAAATTATAAGTTTGATATAGGACTTGTATCCAAAATGAACAGTACGTCAATATAAGATAAATATCCCAACTTAAATATAGACAGAAAGATTTAATTAAGCATTCCACCAAAGAGGATAAGTGAATGGCTAATAAGCACACGAGCACAAACTTAATATCACTAATAATTAGAGATATGCAAATAAAAATCACCATGAACTACAACTACACACCACCAGGATGAGTACAATCAGAACATGTTGGAATGATATAACATGTTGGAAATGATATAGAGAAACTGCAGTCCTCATGCCTTATTGGAGGATATGGCTTAGCCACATTGGCAGAATGAAAACATATGTCCAATAACAAAAACAAAGAGAAACCCCACCAACTGGGAGAACATTTTTGCACCCAACACTAATGATAAAGGACTGATCACAAAAATCTGCAAAGAGCTGACGAGACTCAACAACAACAAAGAAAATAATCCAGTCAAAAAATGGGCAGAAGAGCTAAAAAGAAACTTCTCTGAAGAGGAAATGCAAATGGCCAACAGGCATATGAAAAAATGTTCAACATCACTTGTCATCAGGGAAATGCAAATCAAAACTACCATGAGATACCATCTTACACCAGTGAGAATGGCACATATTAAAAAAACTAGCAACAACAAATGTTGGCGAGGGTGTGGAGAAAAAGGAACTCTTCTGCACTGTTGGTGGGAGTGCAAACTGGTCCAACCACTATGGAAAGCTGTGTGGAGATTTCTGAACCTACTAAACATAGAACTTCCATACGATCCAGCAATTCCACTCCTAGGTATTTACCCAAAAGACACAGAAACATCAATTCCAAAGAGCACCTGCACCCCTATGTTTACAGCAGCACTGTTTACAATAGCTAAGCTTTGGAAACAACCCAAATGCCCAAAAATAGATGACTGGATCAAGAAGATGTGGTACCATGGAATATTACTCAGCATTCAAAAAAGATAAACACATGCAATTTGCAGCAACATGGATGGCGCTGGAAGGGATCATGCTCAGCAAAATAAGCCAAAAAGAAAAAGAAAAATACCGGATGGTCTCACTCATAACAGGAATCTAGAAAACTTAAATAAGGGACCAGGAAAATGAATATCTATAAGAAAGTAAAAATCAAAATCAACAAAAAACTATGAACCAGAGACACTTTTAGGGGGGCGGGGGCGGGAGGGGAGGGATTGGGGTCAGAATGGGGGGGCTGCAATTGTATGGGGAATATAACAATAAAATTTATTATTTAAAAAAAAAAAGAAAATATATGTCCACATGAAGACTTAGTCATGAATATTCATAACATCATTAGTTATAACTGCCCAAACTGGAAATTCCCTCACTTTTCTATACTAGCAAATATTTCCTTCTGAAACAACCTCTTATATGTAGAGTTTTCAAGGATCATCATTATCACAGTCACTTATTGACCCAATATTTATTAGCTAGCAAATGCATAAATAAAATATGGCATGTCCACACAATGAACTAACAGTCATCAATAAAAACAAGTGGAATACAGATATTTGTGACAACAGGATGAAGCTCAAAAACATTTTACTGAGTAAAAGAAGTCAGGCATTTAAAAGATTACATTATATGATTTCATTAATATGAAATCTCCAGGGAAGGCAAATCTACAGAGATAGAAAACAAATCAGCAGTTGCCTGGAGCTAATGGTGGGAATGGATGGACATGAGCTGTAAACAGACATGAGTGATTTTATGGGGTAACAGAAATGTAAAACTGGATCATGAGGGTGGATGCTCAACTCCACAATTTGCTAATAGCACTGAATTGTACATTTTAGTGTGGTCCTCACCAGTGATTAGATTGTACAAGTAACTGCCCAAAATATGCATCTATTTGTACTACCCTAAAGACATTATATACATCGCTCTTTTCATGAAAACTGAACAAGGAATGAAATCTTTAAATTTCTTTTCTCATTTATTTCCTTTCTTTATCACCCCACTTACAGCTCTCTTAGGAAAAGTAAATGAAACCCGAGGGATCTGAAGAACATGAGAGTAATGATGAACTCTGCCATAAACTGTCTTCTCTCACTCAGTGCCTGTGGGTCTCACAAACAATTCATAATCAACCAGAAGAGGGCATTATTAGCATTTCCCCAAACACAAGCTTCTCCCAACTCTCGATTCTTATGTTATCAAAGGACAAGCTTCCTAACCTGTGTATGTTAAAAGAGTTGTCCCAAAGAAGTTTTTTACACCACACTGAGGCTATACCTTGGCTTTTCCTGAGCCTATCAACAAATAACAGCCGATGGTAACACATAATTATCTACTTACCAAAAGAAAAGTCCGGATTGTTCTTATTTTGTTAAGTTCAAGAAGCAATTTTTGTGCCTTCTCATGGTTACTACAATATTCATCATAGATACGAAACTTGTCTTTCTGTGAATTCAAGTAAGAGTAAGTTAAGAGTTACATTATTAACCATTTTGAAATTTTAACCTGGATGATGTTTGTGAACAAATTTCAGTATTTTTACTATGTTTCAAGAAGTATACTGTATGTATATATAACTTTTTTAATTTTCTTAATCCATGAATTATAGCTTAGAGGAGACAAGCTTACATCAATTATAGTTCAATATGATGCATGATTTAACAGAGAAATGATCAAATGGTAGAAAACCCCAGAAAGTAGAGCACTTAATTTTGATGGGAAGATTCAGACACAGCTTTTCAAAGGCAATGATATCTCAGCAAGGCACAAGAGATGAATCCATGACTCTTGGACAGGGAGAGGGAAAAAAGTATTTTACATAAAGGAAAAGGCATGTACTAGACCTTATAGGTTTAGAGAAACAGTACCCTGCAGTTTATATGTACCATCTGGACACTTGTATTAAAGAGGGATGTTGACAAAATGGAGAATATGTAGCAACAACTGACAAGGGTAAGGACAGACCTTGAAGACACTACATAAGATGTCATTTCAGAGAGAGATATTTGTTAGTATAGAAAAGTCAGGAAATGGCAACTATTTTCAAATAGTTATGATATATAGTGTAAAAGATTTCCAACTCATATATCTCCAAAACATAAAATGAGGACCACGAACTGCACAGTTCAACGGTAGTGATGGGAACTGATAGGCATATTTGGAATTAATGAAAAGATTTTCTAACAATTAGAGCTATTACTAAAAATAGAGCCTTCACAGTTATTATAGAAAGTACACTTGTCAAAAAAAATAATTTCACCCTCATGATCTCTAAGCTCTCTCTACCTGTAAGATTTTCTCTAAGTGATTATGATGAATAACAAAGCAGTAGAATAAAAGAGGAAGACACAGAAAATTTATTAATCAAATATTAGAACTAAAGTGTGTCCTTTGAAATTTCAAAGAAATGCATCTACAAACACTGACTGCTATTTTTATAACCAGCAGAAAATGTACTGGATTACTTAATTCAAGAGATGGTATGACCCAGAATAAAATAAACCTCAGAAATAGTTTAGCTAAATTCATGGATGACAGATTCATAACGTGTTATTGAGGAAATGTATGTCAGAGTACAAAATTCCCATGTGTAACCCTGAACTGAGACAGCAACTACTCCAGCTGGCAGAAGATTCCAATTCTCTCATGAAAAGGCACAGTCTGGGGTAAGTGGACACAAACATACATGGTTTCCAGCCATACCCAAGACAAGCACGGCTTGATGGTCCTACATTAAGGAATCTCCCCCTGTCATATAATAGAATATGTTCTGATTATAAAAATAACATGTGCTGAGTCTGCTCATTATATATAGTACAGAATGCTTTATAAAAAAGCTAAATGGACAATGAAAAATTTAACATAAATTGATTTGTATGACAAAATACCTATACATTAAATATAACAATTGCATTTTGATTAAAAATTGGATTTAATTTGGTATTCTGGAATATTAGTATCAGCTGAATGGCATAAATAGCAGCACTATTTTTCTATTTTTAGTATGAATGTCCTCTAGTTTTGGAAAAAAGTCCACATTGCAGGTGGCATTTTACTTTGTAAATTGCCTAAATAACTTTAGTGATCACGTACAAAGGATATGAAAATAATCATACCAGCACAATACATGATTTGAAACAACTAAACGCCAACTTGCTATTTTTCCTACACTGCTCAATACAACCTTCTGAGAAACCATCCTGGAGAAAGATTCAAACATAGGCATATGTATACCTCGAGGCTCTGGGTTTGTTCACCTCTATGTCTGTCACAGAAATTGCTTAACAAGGGAACATTCTGACTAATAAAAGGCTCATCATGCCATTATAAGATTAAGGATTTTCTGCTTCAAAAGAGGAATGCTCTATGTTTGAGAAAAACATAAAAATCCATTCATTATGAATAGCCTGAATATTCATTAGAATTCAAAGCTACAGTGGATGCGAAGAACTAACTCTTTTGAAAAAAGAAAAGGCTGTTTATTCTTCACTGAGTAAAATGGATGATGTGAGGCGCTCTCCCCTTTTCTGGCTCCAAGTAGAAGATTTCATTGGCCTTAAAGGACCCCAAACTTTTGGTGTCAGATTTTACTTCTGATGCTGAAATCACACATACCACTATGCCAAAAACTAAACCTTAACGTCCAGGGGGAAAGGGCTTTTAAAATAAACAGAAATTTTCCTACAAAGTGAAGAAAGCAGGTTCCCACTTCTTGCTGAGCGTTAGGTTCAGGATGTAAGCATTCTTCCACGACTTTTAAAAATTCTTTATGTACTGCAAGGATATCTTCAATGTTTGAGAACAGCATCTGTAAATAAATAAATGTGTAAGCAAGTGCAATAATAAGGCTCATTTAAAAATAAAAAAGAAGTCATCTATATGAGAGTAGGGTTCTCACTCCAAGTTAAAAACTTCTGTGGATAGATAGCTTTCCTACTTCTATTCCTTCCTTCCACCCAGCTGGCAGAGTGTCAATTCTGTCTGGACATTCCCACACAATTCTGGGAACCGGGAACCTATTCCTAGCTCTCAGGAAAAGTCAAAGTGATCAAATCCAAGTGTGGTAGTGCAAATCCCAGTAAGAGAAATGGCTTCCAGGTGAAACAGAATGGGCAGATTCGACAGCAGATGTTTCAACTTCTTCGCTCCCTGCAATGGACAGTCCTTTCCCCCTCTACAGAGTACTAATCTGGAAGTGAGAGCAGGGACAGATACAGAGTCACTTTGCAGTGTAGAAGCCAGTTCAGGGGCAAAGTAGATGACTTGGATGGCAGACTGAAGAGCTAGAGAGACCCTGGCAATTGCATAGTGCTCCGCCTGTCATCACTCCTAAACCTTCTCTTCTGTCTGGAGTTTCCTAACATAGGGTCAAAGTATCTTCAAGTCAATTTCACTAACATATGTTTTTGTCTGAAACCAAAAGCATGTGAATGAAAACATTCCATGGTAGGAGAGCCTGAAAATCAGTATTTAACTTTTGGGGAAACAGAGTCAGAAAAGCCTATAAAATCCTTGGAAGTTTTTTATTTTCAGTAAGGTACAATGGCAAAGTAACATTAAAAGTAACTATTAATGATGATTTAGAGAACTTCAGTGAATAAATAATCACAGAAATTAGTTTTCATTTACTAGCCACCTTTTTTTTTCCAAAACTCTTTATAATTTTCCTTTCCTATAGCTTAAAAGGAAATATACATTCCTTTCTAAGTTGGCAGATATTATGCAGACTTTTTTTTCTGTACCATCCAAACAGATTGTTCTTGAGTGATCACAGACACAGGACATTATGTTTGCCCTTGAGCCACCTCTAACAATCCCCTTATCCACAGCTCAGCTCCCTTCTTCTCATAGACACCAATGGTTTTAGGATAGGATTTATTTTTCTTCCTCTTTCCAAGCATTCCCAGGCCTTGGCAAAACAATTTCTCTTTGTCTTCTAGGCCATGCTTTTAACCCCCATTTCTTTCCCCAAACTCTAGTTTCACTTTTTTTTCCAAATTGATATATACACACGTGATTCACACAAGAACTTACACTGGAACTGAAGATAAGTAGAGAGTACCACAGTAACAGCCCACAAATAAAATTTTATCTAAGGAGAACTTGTGTCTGGGTGGAGTGCCAATTGTACCTCCTTACCTTCACTGTTTCTTCTGTTACATTTTTATCAAATTTTGAGGCCGCGCACTGGTTCATTCGATGTAAGAATGCCTGCATGAAACAAGAAAAATAATGTTAGGAAAATAAAATAACTGGATGTTGATCAGAATTTGAAAGATTTTACAAGAAACCAAAGTTTAAAAACCCAATAGCTGTTGGTCCTACATGGAAATAACATTTCCTTTATATTTAGGGGACAGGGCTGAAAGTGATTACATATATATGGATTAAATTTATCCGCCAGGGGCCTCCCCAGGGGCGCAGCAATTGAGCGCTGGGTTGCGAGGCTGCCCGCAGCCTCTGCAGCGCCAGTTCGATCCCCGGGTCCCACATGGCGCGCAGACTTCTCCTGCCACCTGCTGCTCCCCTCAGCAGTGTACTTCGTCCATCTGTCTGTTCTGCTCCCCGCTCTGGCTCTGGTGAATTCTCTCACCCTCCTGCGCTTCTGACTGTACCCAGTGCTTGTATAAATAAATAAATAAATCTTAAAGAAATAAAGAAATAAAGAAATAAATTTATCCACCAGGGTCTCAAAGTTCTGTGACAAACATTTAAAGTCAGATGTTTCCCAAACTTTTAAATATTGTGAAGCATAAAAGAACAAAATGATATTGCTAACGAAAAACAAAAGAGTCAGAAAATCTAAAGCCACCCCTTTAGAACTGAGAAACATTGAGGGAAAAGGTGGAAGGGTGGGAGGAGGAGGGAAATGGGAGAAGAGGAAGAGGGAGACAGACTCTTCGAGAAATAATCAAAGACCTCTCTTTTCCTCCCATCTCCTTCCCCAAAGTTTCAGGAAGCCATAATATGAATTTCTGGGATCAGGTGAGATTTCTCCATAGCCCTGTGGCTGGCAAATAACTTCATTAGTAATTCAAAGTATTGTGAGTTCTTAAATGGTCTTTAAGCTTTGATCTATTACTAAATGCACTAATATTTTTGCAAAGAAAAAGAGAGCAGAATGATTGATTTATAGTGGGCCTTTAAAATAATGTTTAGAAGGAAAAGAAGAGATGTTTTCACCAGAAAAATGGACACTGTCCATTACCAATCTAGTGAGCAGGACAAATCATTGCTTCCTTTTTCTGACTTGCAGGCTCTGCACATTACCTGCCCAATCAGGGTATGACTGCGCAGACCACCAGCTCCCAAGACACAAAGAAGCTCTAAGGAATCTGTGAATGTTGTATCCAGCAAATGAAAACTAAGGCATGAACCCCATTTTTGACATGCTACATTTACAAATATTTAAGAGATCAAAACCTAGGATTGTTGATAATGTTCCAAAATTATTACCTTCAAGACACTACTAATAAGGATATAAAATGGCACAATTCTACCGAGGACAACTTGATGTCACATCTCAAATTTTTGAACAGCTATTCCCTTTAACCTAGCAATTCTAGAATTTAATCCAAGAAAACATACAGACAATGGATTTCAGTCTTGTACACAACTGAAATGTCCATCAATAAATGAGCCATTTAATACATTATGATACATTATAGATCATGATGTGAAAGTATAATCATAAATGGACTGTAATGAAAATTACATAGCCCTAAGTGCATGTACAGCAGAGGTCTATGAAATAATGCTTGGTGAAAAAATTTACCCAATGGCTTGCATGATATATACATACAAGCAGACAAGCAGGTATACACATATACAAATGTGTAATGTCTGTGCATTCATGCTGAGGAAAAAATAGCATATACAAAAATGGAAACACAGGTTACCTCCAGATGGGGTTGGAAGGCAACCTTTGTATACTTTTTAATTTTCAGAATACGTGACTATGAGCATGTTAAAAATTTTGTAAAAAGAAAAACAAAGCTATTTCAAATAAATGAAACAAATAAGACACTAGACCTTACTCCCAGCACTAATTTTAGCACAGTCATTACTCCTGACTGAATCAGTTCAAATTTCAAATTCCATAACTACAGAGCCAAATAAGTACTAGCAGTCTCAACTGAATGAAATAATTCAGTTGAATTAAATAAAATGAATAAGAAAGTATTGAATGTCAGCTTTTTTTTTATTGGAAACATGTGATATCATTTTTAGAACTATTATCTAAAGTTAGGTATACTGGTCCTCCCCAGTGGCCTTAAGGGAGGGGGTGAAGTCTCAGCGCTCTCTCTGCTATAGCCTAAGTTAGATCCCCAGCCAGGGAGCTAACCCACATGGCACAGCAGACCTCTGCTGTCTCACCTGCTGCTCCCCTTAGCAGCATATTTCAGTAAATCTGCCTGTTCTGCTCTCCATTCTGTGTCTGGTGAATCCTCTCAACCCCAGCACTTCTGGCCTACATCCCAGATCTTGTATACAAAAATGAAAAATAAATAAATAAAGCTAGGTATAATTGGCAATGGAAAGAGATTTCGAATTGCTTGACTTTTAAGTGTCCATTTTGATTAGTATTAGTCTGGTCAATTTTTAATTTTAGTTTTGATTTTTTTTAATATTTTCCCACATACTCATACCAAAAATGCTCTTTAGCTCTTTCCACTTAATCTTAAAATAGCCTGGGTGGTTTAGTTGCCTAGTTTACATTTCATATTGACCACATAGTAAACAGGTAACTTCTCGTGCAAGCAAAATTTAAACTTTACCTCTACAGTTATAAACCTCTTCTTCATAAACAGAATCCAGGCACATTCTTAAATCAATAAACTAAATTAGGATGTAGTAAAAATGGTTCAAAATATAAGTTAGAATGGAACATAAAAACTAGTAAACTATATCTTTATCTGATTTTTTATCTTCCATGACAATATAGAACTTTCTGTTCAACTGTACACAAAAGAAAACCTGGAACTTGTAAGCATTTCTGACCAAGCATTTATGTTTCCTGAGAGGCTCATTTTATACAACAGCGAGGGCAGATTTTAGATAGGTTGCTGAGAGTGCAAAATCATGAAAACTGACATTTTTTATAAAATAAGTAAGCCTTCCTTCCTGAAGATAAAGATAAATAATGTGTTTTCAGAATCATCCTTTAACAGCCCTCATCTACCTTTCAGAGGTTGGCAAATGGTACATTTAATCTTTCCCAGATTAATCAAGGAAGTACTGATACCCAAGTTAAAAAAAAAAAAAGTGAGAGATTTAATGTGCTGTTTTATCTCTGCACTCATTCATTCCCACTGGTCCAGAATTTCGTAAGTAAACTTCTTCAAACTTCAGCTATATCATCTTCAGTTTATACAAATATGTTGTAAAAGATACTGGGAAATAATGTTTCATGTCCACAGTTCTCAAACTTTTCTTGTGAATAACACTTGGAGAGTTTCTTCCAAATATAGATTCCCTGACGCTATCCCCAGAAAATCTGATTCAGCAGATTAGGTTAGGACCCAGAAATAGGCGTTTTGAGCAAGCTACCTTATTGATTCTGATGCAGTTGGTCCAGAGAACCACATTCTAATGAATATTCCTTTACATTCATTCTTTTTTTAAAAAAGATTTTATTTAATATGCATACAAGAACTGGGGTGTAGGCCAGAGGTGTGGGGAGTGAGAAGATTCACCAGAGACGAAGTGGGGAACAGAACAGGCAAATTGACTGAAATACACTGCTGCGGGGAGCAGCGGATGAGACAGATGAGGTCTGCTGCGCCATGTGTGTTAGCTCCCTGGCCAGGGATCAAACTCAGGTCTCAGTGGTGATAGCAGGATAGTGCTGAGACTCAACCCCTCTACAACCAGGGAGGCCCCCTTTACATTCATTCTTTCACAGACTGAAGAAACAGACCTTGAGAAACAAATACATGAGTCTCAATGAGAAAAGGGGGTCACTTACTTCATCTTCACTTTCAACTCCATGTCATACCCCCTCTATGCACAACATCCTCTTGGCTCAGCCACTGACAGTTTCTGATACCCCACCAGAGTACAGGTTGACAATGAATATGATTATACAATATGGGCTGTGTCACAGGTTACAACAATCTCTGCTATCTAGGGAGATGCAGAGCCAGATATGTTGGACTAAGTAGCATCTAAAGGAAGTAGGATTCGCATGTCCTACTTCCCTCCCATGTCCCTCTAGCTTATAGGTTCCTTGATGTGAAGTCTGCCAACATCCCCCTAATCATTATTCTGCACAACATATTCTAAATATCACTCTAGTCATAGCTGCTTTTTTCCCCACTCAGAGATTAGAGTTCTTCATCTTCTTTTCAATTTGCTCCATATTGTTTTCATCTTATCAGGTATTTGGTAAAATATGTTAAGTTTTTAATTAGAGTTTAAGAAAGCTGAAAATGTTACAACTTTGCTACCAAGAAATCGAAGAAGGAAGAAAACCCATTGAGATATAATAGGGAGATGATAGCAATCTAATCTCTCCTTTCCCCTTTGTCTGCCCATCTCAGAAGTAAAGCAAAGTCATGATGAGTTTTATTCTCAGGATACATTTGCTTATTTTTTAATTTCCATGAACTAAATATCTCCCTCAACTCACTATTGTCATTTCCATTCTTTTCATCACTCAGGCACACACAGATCACTGTCACAGATTTTTAAAGTTTACACCTTTAATTCTAATGCCTGATACGAATCTGTATTTCATAACACCATATAGGCACTACACCCTTATCACCCCTACAAATACTCAACATTCAGAATGAATGTCAGTTTGTTCTGTCACCTTGAAAATGTGATTACTTGGGCCTCCCAGGTGGCACAGCGGTTGAGCGCTGGGTTGCGAAGCTGCCCGCTGCCTCTGCAGCGCAGGTTCGATCCCCGGCTGCTCCCGGCCACCGGAGGAGGGTCCCACATGGTGCGCAGACCTCTCCTGCTGCCCACTGCTCCCCTCAGCAGTGTACTTCGGTCCTTCTGCCTGCTCTGTTCCCCGCTCTGGCTCTGGTGAATTCTCTCACCCTCCCGCACTGTACCCAGTGCTTGTATAAATAAATAAATAAATCTTTAAAAAAGAAAAAGAAAATGTGATTACTTAACATGGATAGAGATGGGCAAAGCATATATATAAAAGTAAAAAAGGGAAAATTTTAAGAGTGTCTACTCTGTTACAGGAAAATACA